TATACATTGTACCGGTCCGTCAAAAATTGCACCATTTTTGCTACCGTTATCAGGGTGGCAATCCTCGGAGCTGACCTTGTGGTTCATTAGAAAGAAGTCGATAACTTCGCTCAGGATCGAGTAATTTGCATTTCTGACGATATCAACTCGAGACCGTAGAGTTGACAATTTGTTTAGCAGTAACCTCTTTTCTTATGCGGAAGGAGCGGAAAATTCTATCTGACCGCGAATAGTTGAGTCACGTTGCCTTCGTTGGTTGCGTGCCTTGATTGCTTCTTTAGTCATAGACGGCCTAACATCCATTTTTTTTTTATAAATGTGCATGTTATAAAATATATAAAATGTGTTTTAAAAAAATCGAAATAACAGTAAATATAAATACAAAATTTGTTGAAGTGTCAAAACTTTAAAAACTAATTATATTATAAAAAACGAAGTAAAAAGGATTAAAAAATGATGTAAGTAAAAAAACTGAATAATTGAAAGAGGTTTACGTATATGACGAGTGAGCAAGTGGCTATGAGCGTTGAATGTACCAACATAAATCTGTATCGTCAGTTTTATAATTTACATATGATAAGGTGATGTTGTCTCACACTTCTAACGTCCACTGTCATGAAATTGTATTGTCCAAAAAGGGAAACTATTGTTTATACCCATTTGCACTTGTTTCCGGAAGCATAGCAGAACTTCACGTACTTGAAGTCAAGTGTACGTGTTTGGCGGGACATTTGATTGCACCTTTACCGTGTAACAGCCAACATGCACACAATAACGATACATGTCTCGGAAGCACAAGAGGCCGCGATACACGCTCTATTCTCCCACTCTGATTGGGATTTAGTTTACGAGAACCAGGCGGAGGAAGAACTAGATTTAGATGATAGTGGATTGGAGCCTGATCTGGTTGTCGAGAGAGTCGTCGGGCAAAACGAGTGTGGGTTTTGTCTTAGTCAACCTTGTGTGACAACAAACAGGCAAGATTGGTTGGGAAATGGCCAGGGTCTGTGCTATTAGGCGTCGTTTATACAAAAAGTATTGAACGATGCTCGGACGACGAAATGCGTGGACTGACGAATAATACATCCAGCGCAAGTCACAACTTATGAGGGCTGATGACGTTGTGGTCACACAAAGAGAAGTGATGTCGGAGTGTGTTGTAAGACAGATACGCGGACTGTATCCCAATCTCCCAGGCGTGCCTTATATGGGTCATCTCTGGTACTGAAAAATATGTGTCTTTCATTGATACAAACGAACTAAACAGCCCTTTTCAGGGCCAACAAATATTCCAAAAAGAGAACCACCGTATTGTCAATTACTTGCATCATGAAATAACTAGTTTATTTGAATAACCTACACAATGTAGTTGTCGTACAACGTTTGCCATAATGTGTCTTGTCGGCTCGGCAATAATGACGTTATGCAACGTCAAAAAAACAAAAACAAAACAAAACTTTATTATACGTATACGGCTGTGCGGCACGGGTCCGACACCAAATATACATGAATATATGAAAGGGCTAAATATTTCACTACGGGTGAATGGCATGTTTCAGGGAACATAATTTTTTGTGAGACCTTTCAATTTATTTATTTCGAGAACGACGAGAAATTTGAGAAGCATACTCGACATATTGTAGGGGACGTATTTGGGACTCCCTCGACTCTTTTCATCGATATCAGAGTGAAAACCATTTTTTTTTTCCAGCCCTGTAACCGCGAATGTCTTTCTTTGCGCACACACACTACAGAAATTATTGGTACATTGTATGTTTACGCAAAGTCCCTCCCCTCTCGCGCACACCCCAGCTTGTGCGATTCGCACTCGCTCGGGTCGAACCGCTTTGTGGAGCGCCGACGATGTCCCCTGAGATGAACGGACGGACAAACAGCTCACAGCATATCATTTATTAGCTCCACGATATCACTTACATGATCAACTCCGTAATTACATAAACATATCTAGAGATTGAACAAATAACTCGGGATTTACACCTTACATTTGCATAAACCCATGACTGACAGCCAGTTTGAGCAGTCAAAACGACTGTTTGAATCATGCTTTTCCGTCGCTTTTACGCGGAAATCGTACTGACATCGCACCGAACTCGTAAATTAACATCGCAGTTGTATCGCGGACATATTCATGTTTGTGTACGACATGAAAATAAAGCACCACAGGCGTTAAGATTGCCGAAAAGAGTGATTTTGCGGAGCACCCCGAAGAGATGTTTCACGCTTGAGTGTCATTTGCATACTGGAAAGTGGCGGCCATCTTTCCTTTTATACACCCAGACCCGCGGTTTAAATCTGTGTGATGTCAATGCACAAAATTAAACAATGAATTTCATTTGTTTGGAAATTTATAAAATAGCTTGAAACATTCACCCTGGAAGACAGTCCAAAAACACCCATTCCCCAAGAGTCTTTTATACAATAATTGGCCAATTTACTGTCATATTAACAATATTATTATTGCGAAAAATCAAGTTGTTTTAACTACTGTCAGAATTTCCAACACATTACAATCATTTCTCTTATTTTGCAGAGGTTAAGTCTGGCTGACATCACTCTGAAGATGCAGTATTTAACTCTGGAAACTGTTGATGAAGATGGTAAACAAATTAAAGGACTGGTGGAAAGATTCTCAACTTCCAGTACCAAGCTACAAGCTGTGGTACAAAGTCTTTACGAGTTGGCATTAGAGAATTACCATTACGCCGCTGTAGCTGCTAGATTATGTCATCGCATGGCAAATGTTGAAGTTGGGGAGACCAAGTTTCGGAACCTCGTCTTGAAGCTTCTGCAGGCGGACTATGAAGGGCGGGATATACTGAGGGGAGAAGGGAATGATAGTTATGATGCGTGTAGTTTATTTGCATTTGTTACTTTTCTTGTGGAGTTGTATGCATTGCTGAGAACACAGAATGGTGAACCACTGAGAGCGCTGTTAACCCCGGTGTTTGTCTGCCTGAAGGAGGTAAGATAATCACAAGTAAAGTTACTATAATCAATCTACTGTAAAATGACTAATTTTCACTGGGTTTAAATTTCGCATATTTACCATTTCAGGCATATTCAGTGGGTTTTAAATTCACGGTTTTATCATTTAGATAATGTGTTCTATGCTAAATTTTACATATTCACTGGGTTTTAATTTAGTGCATTTTCCAGTCAGCGAAATAAGCAAAATTAAAACCCTGTGAATAATTAACCCCTTTACAGTAATACAAAAGCACTAAAATAAGACTTTTTTCACCTGTCATTATGCACTACTAATAGAGCATTACAGTGTGTCATTTTATTCATTTTAGGATTTAACTTTCCACAAAGATTATATATTTATAAGATAAGGCAGGGTTGTCACTAAGAAAATGAACAGGGGTAGAATTTGAAACAACAGAAGGAGAACTGCCATGGCTGAAGTCCATGCCCAGTCCGTAGGCCCGGCACATGCCTGCCCTGTAACCTCTTGCTTAGCTGCAAAATGCAGAATAAATGTTTTTGCCACAATAACAGTGACCACTGGCCATCTGGCAAAATATGTAAACCACGATCTGAAACGTTAAACAGTACACAAAATTAAATAAACAAATATAAATGCAGTGTAGGTTATTACCAAACGCTTCAGCGTGGTATTAAGATTTTGTTTTCAGGCTTGGGTGATACCAAGGTGGAAAATGGTTGCACATATGGGGGGTAATTCCTGGAATTGCAATAGAGAGGGTTCAGGCCGAAATACATATATATAGTGTTTCCATGTTTCGTCTGATATTTCTGTGGTATTCTGCTGCTGTAAATAATGCAAGATTTGTTCCGAAATTCAGTGTGTTGTGTGCACTCCAGGGTTATTCGTTTTTTTGCTCAAAACACCCCTATTTTTTAATGGGAGAGTCGAATAGTTTCACTCCCACTGGGAA